ACCTGAAGGATAGTTCCAAAGAGGATGGAGCTAGATTGTTCTCAGTGGTGGCAGATGACAGAACACGAAGCAATGGTCTCAGTTTGCAGCAAGGGAAGTTTAGGTTAGATATTAGTAAAAACGTTTGCTTGAGGAGAGGGTAGTAACACACTGGAACAGGCTACCCAGAGACGTCGTGGAATCTCTCTCCTTATCAGTTTGTAAGACCCGGGTAGACAAAGCCTTGGTTGGGATGATCTAGTTGGGGTGAGGAAGAAAAAGATGCAAACTTTAATCCATTCAGATGGAGAATTGCTTAGAATTCAGATCCTCCATTTTTTGAGTGCTGTAGCCAGTAAGCATTATGCAAAACATACTCAAATTGGATTGCTTATGAGAATGGAGGGAAGCCAAAGCTTAACACCTGGGGAACACTGTAGTCCAGACATAGGCACATGTTGTGGTTTCTGGTCAGTAGAATGGTGGTGTTCCAAATCACATTCTGGATCTGAGGTGCCTAAAGTTTGCCTAGGTACCACTTAGGTGCCTAGTTGATCAACCTGGCTCAGGCATTTTATTAATGTATTTAATGCATATGCATTTTCCCTTCATAAAGACTGAAAGTAATTTATAAAAAAATTATGACCCTGTTGATACTACCTTAGCTTGTTTGCTCTGTCAGGAGATTTGTCCACATTTCTTACATCACTTCTCACTCAGTCCTGCTCAGAGTTGTACTGGGTTTCATGGGACACAGTAGACTTTCAGATCCCCAAGTACACTAATGTAAGCAAAAGTAGAGTCTGGATTTCTGTATTAGTTGGAAGTCTGATCTATTCTAGCTTTGCTCAATAGCAGTAACATTAGGTTTTTAATTGTGTTTTTATTTCTGCATGTTTTGATGACTAATATTTTGTCTTTTGCAGCCCTAGAAACCTCAGATTTAATGCACAATAGACAGCTGATAAAAGCGGGAAGCCTTCCTTATAGCTATTGAAAAAGCTTGCTGCCTCAGCACACTCCAGCTGCTCCTTATTAGAACTCAGTTTAGGGCTGTTCATGAAGATAAGAATGTACAGTACGTCACAGCAACCCCAATTTTTCCCAAACATGATATCTAAATTCCATCAGGACTAATCCATATGATTCTCTTTGCTTTGTTTCTGTTTTGTCTGTTTTTACTGGGACATGATGCCCTAGAAGTAAAGGTCATTCTGATGCATGTGATGAAACAAAAACAATTTTGATTAATATTAGCAGGGAACCTTACTTCTACAAAGCAAACCAATTTTATTTCCTGTGCTTCAAGAAGTAATGTGTTAACCCTTTTCCCTGTGGTTATGATTCAGTGTCAGATGCCAGTGTCAAAGGGATAATAATTTGTGTAGATATTTTTTTTCACAGAGGATGAAGTGGAAAGTAATGGTAAGGAATGATTAATGGTCTTTATGAAGATTCTCCCCTTATATATAAAATGTACATCTTCCCCATCTGTACACTTCATTGTGATATATTATTTAAAAAATACTTCTTCAAAACCACTCAACTAGAATTCCCTTCACACCTCCCAATACATTAATAACAATCAGAAATACTGTTAAGCAGGCAGAAGGAAGAAACCAAGAAAAATAAATTACTTTTTATTTAGAATTTACATTATCCCTTTTGTTGCAAGGTGGATATCAGTAAGAGGAAAACTAAAATAAACCCGAGGTTTGTCAGATGAAGACCCATCAGTGAGAAAAACTATAGTATCAATTAGACATGTGGTATTTACTTAAAGGTGTCATTGGCTGCATCCAGACGAGTACAGCTGTGCAGTATGCGGTGCTGCAGACACATTTGCAGCACCACATACCACACTTTCAGCGGTTCTCCACACTGCAAGGGAGCGGGGGGGTTGACCATTGAATATTCCCAAAAAAAGTGGAGCAGTGCACATGGGAGCAGTGCATGCTGCTAAAAACTGGAGCCTGGCCAGCTGGAGCTAGTGGCAGCACAAGGTATGCCACTGCTAGTTGCCCCCAGGGAACGAAATGTCCACGCTCATGTGGATGCGGCCATTCTATCTATGGCCTTGCATCTGTAGTGAGGAAACCTATCTGAGAAGAAAAGGTATATCCAGCATACCCAGGGTTATGTGGTATATTTTAGCTTCCTCCTTTACTCCAGAACTAAAGTGGGGTTGGGTAGAAAGAACCAACTTGAATATTTTTTGTATAAGTAATTGCCCCAAAGTTATAATTTAGTAAAAATATGGTGGAATATGGCCATTTTTCTAAGATACCTTTATTTTCTAGTTTTCAAGTAAAAATATTTCTTTGAGAAGTTTTGAAAGCAGGTACTGGACATTTTGCATTATGTAGTACTTTTGGAATGTTGTTGTAGCCAGGATGGTCCAGGAAGTATACAAGCAGCAAGGGTTGTTTTGTGATACCTTTTATATGACCAGCTGTACAGTTGGGAGAGATGTTAGACAATCTTCCAGCCACAATGTTCCTTTTTTCCATTCTGCAATTTTTCACAAAATACCTTCAATTTTTCAACCACCTCTAAGATTTTTCCATAGGCACAAACCAAAAGAAGCCTACAGGTTGACTATACTGAAGTGTCCAGTGGTAAAAACATCATGATCTCTTCAAGGAGTCTGGGAAATGGGGTAAAGCTTCTGTGAGGGTGTTTTGGAGAGGAGGACATGTGACTGTATAGTGCATTAGGCAAAAAATATACTGTAACTAATATAGGTCTAAAATGTTGCTTTTAGAATGAGGGATACCTGCTTATTGCCTGACATCATATTAAGAACACAAGAGATTCTCCAATAGAAAAATAATGCCATTATTTCCTGAAATATGAACTCATTCTGTTTCTATTTCGCAGCCCCGTTCTCTTATCTGTTAACATTTTCTCTTTGTTGGCAAGTATCAAGTCGAAAATAGACTCTTCTCCTGTTGCCTAGGAAATTATCACTCACTAAAGAGCTGAAAGCTACTTTTAACTGGCTTTCTTTGGAAAGGTGTCCTCTATATATGTTTCCTTTCTGTGGGGGCGTATTTTTCAGACCAGGAGACGCAATACAGTTACTCTGCATCAACAGTATACAATCTCGATAAACACAGGCCTTACAGTTGTTCAAAGTAGCTGTTTTTGAAAAGTATTCAAAGAAAAGGAAATTAAATGGGAAAGCTGAAAGCTGCATCACAGTGACTTTATAGAGCAATCTTTAATGTGATGCTATGGTGATAAGTGGTGCAGAAATACCTATCATTAAAAATAAATTAAATAGAGCTAAATAGATCAGAATCTCAGAGTTAAGGCTGAAGCCATATTGTACTTTAATGCAACTCTCCACACAGCACTTAGCGCAGTGGGGCCATGTAACAGGAAGCCGGAAAGCTCCTGATGCTTTAAGAGGAAAGAGTACCAGGCAGAGCTGAATCAGGGAGGACTGGCAGCTAGAAAACAAGCTACCTGCTAATGAAATGGCTGCCAGCAGACAAACCAGGGTGCAGGGCAGAGGGAAAGGCTAACTATGGGAAGATAACTCACCGTGGGGAGGGAGGCAGGGTATTAAAATGTACAGAAGTAAAAGTCAGCCCAGGCAGGGCAGTACAAGCCAGACAGGGCAGTAAAAGTAAGCCCAGAAACAAGGGGCTGCAGACAGGTGAGTTCAGTTCTAACAGGTAAAGCAAGCAGGTCATCAAACACAGGGGGGAAACTCCTGTGAGTGCCCACAGAGTCCCAGAAGGTGCAGAGCTTAGGAGACCAGAAGGCGCAGAGCTTAGGAGCCTCTTAAAGCCTGTACCTGAGAGCAGGTGATCGGTCTGAACCTGCTAGCTGCAGAGTGAGGAGCTCCTGCCTTGGGAGGCTCTGCTGCCTCCTAGAATGCCTGATAGTACTAAGACCATGAATGTTTGCTGCAAGGAGGTTAGCACCCAAGACAGTGGGAGGCTTGTCAGACTGCCAGTTGCCTTGGAGTTTTGCTAGAGCCTGAATGCTTATTTGTTTTGTTAGAGTTTTGCCAGTGTTTGGGGCTTGGGACTGTAGGGGTAGTTTGGAGGTCCCACTAGTAATCACGGGGCACGTAACTGCCTTGAGCTTTGCCAGGGGTTGCTCCATTGCCTGCAGCTTGGGGCCAGGGTGTCCACAGCCTGGGAGGGGCAGAGATAAGAGCCCAAATGGTCGACAAGGGGCTGTAGACCAGGAAGCCAGGCCCAATGCAGTGTGTCTAGGCCAAAGGTACCAGCCAAAGCAGTGGGGCGGAAACTGGGAAGCCAAGGCCCTAACAAGGGAGTGGAGGTCTGAAGTAGCCTGGTGATATGGGGCAAGGTGCCCACATAAGTGGTAACACGTGAAAAACATGAGAGATTCAGGACAGGATACGCTAAAGGGAGACCCTGGGGCAGCCTCCCTTTCTAACTTATTATACAGAACAAGGTGAGACGGGCAAAAGCAAAAGGGAGGAACCTTAGAGATAGGATGGCTCAGGAGCCAAGTTGCCACCAGGGGCTGTAACAGCTGCCTCTGGGGTACCGGTTGTATTACAGGCCATCATTTTAGCTTGGACCTTCAGTGTAGCTGTAATATAAACAATAATTCTCAGACATGCAATCACTCTCCTCATTATAAAGGATGCTTAAGGAAATGGTGCAGATCACAGACAGTTGTAGACATACCTATGCCTTGCTGGCTATGTCTTTCTGGCATGCTGGCACATGCCTTGCTGGCATGTTTTAATGTTGTTGAATCAGGATAAATAATGATATTAGAGAATGCAGAGTCAGAATGAACTCTAATACAAATTGTTAACATTGTAATTAGGAGATACACCTGTTTATTCCAGGAATGAATTTGGATTATAGTCTTCAGATTCATTCTGGTTTCTTGAGTTACAGTGTTTATTTTGTTTTTCTTAAATGCTAATGTCAAAGGGAAACAGATGTTCATATGACTATTTTTTCAACTTTCAAAAATAACGCAGAAATATTTCAATAGGAATTTGTTTTCTTTATATTTTTCAGAACATGCCAGGATAATCTCTTCTCTGTTTCACTACTGGATTACAGATATTCTTCCTGCAAAGAACCAGAAATAAAGCATGTGTGTGTAACCATCTGTGCAGAGTTAAATTGTAATATACGAGCCCTTAGTTGGTCAACAAATGTTCAGAAATGCCAGGGTCAGTATGCACACTGTATGTTCACCAAGGTAAATAAGCTATTTTATATATCATTGACTAGTTCCAAAAGATAATCACTACAATAAAAATACTTTCAGTGTGATATTTGATTGGTAGGAAACATTTCAGGTGCATGTGCCAGCCAAATAATTTAATATAACATGATCCAGGGTGTAGCAGGACTGAGCCCCAGGGGTGGCTGTGATGCCCCCTGGTGGTCACACAGCTACAGCACTCATTCTGGCTCTCTTCCTTCTCCCTTGTCTGCCATGCCTTAATGTAATGAGTTAATTTGTGGAAAAGGAAGCTACCCTTAGGCCCATGAGTGTGTCCTCTGTGCCAGCAAATCCTTCCCAGACCCCATGGGTCTCAAACCCACCTTCAGGTGTTAGGTAGGCCTTCCTTGTCTGTCCATGCTCCAGTGCACTAATCCCCTTAAGGACTCATTTCTTGGTCTCTGACCTTCCCTATAGCCAAGCCCATGCCTCACAGGTGTTACTGCTAAGTCACTTTCCCTTGTTGAGCCCTCAGCCTGTCTGGCCTCTGTCCTTTTCACTCTCACTAAGCATTTTACCCTAGGTCCATTGTGCCAAACCTGACTCCTCGGCATCAGCCCATATCTCATCCCTTATGACTCCTGCTCTAGTCTGGGCCCTCAAGGCTGTAAGCCCCTGAACTTGGTCCCACTCCTCTAGGGCTCTAATTTTACTCTGACCCCCTGTTTCCACCTTGGTCTGGCATGGGGCTTTCTGGCCCTGTCTCTACCCTTTTCAGACACTGGAATTCCCAGCCCTGACTCTGACCTGCTCAGGCACTGGTCATTAGCTCCCCTGGCTTCAGACCACTACTATTACTTGGCTTTGGCCCTCTTGGCCACTGCCTGCTGGCCCCTGGCAGGGGCTGAGCTACAGTCACATGCCCCATGGGCACAAATGGGACCTTCAACCTCCCCTGCTAGCCCCAGTCCAACCTGCTGGTATAAACTGCAACAAAAGAGTAAGCCCATTGGCTACAATATAAAACTATCCCTGGACTGAGTTCAAACTTAAACCCCCAGCTCACTGGCTTCCCCTTACCTGGACTGTATTCCCCTTTAAGCCCTCAGCCTTACTGGTAATTCCAGGCAGCTCACCTGTCACCCAGATATTCCTCTGAAGCCTTCCTGAATCAGAGTTCTTTCCCCTGCTGCCTGCAGAGCCAGACTGATTGCCTGGGCTTAGGCTGCCTTAGTGAGTTGGCTCCCTCAGTGGTTTCTAATTAGAACATGATGGCTAGCTCTCAGAGCAGTTTGCAACTGCTGCTTTGGCTGCTTTAGCAGTGACCTTGTCATCCCTCCAGAGCTCTGCCCTATAGTACTATTGCACTACAGCTAGCACTGCAATAGGCACCCTGCTGCTGTACCCATAGCTGCCCTACAGCCCTGTTGCAGAGTATTTAGTTCTGCCATAGGCACTTATAGGCTATTAATCCCTGTTGGTTTGTTCTCCTGCCACCTGTAATGAGCAGCCTTCCCCACCTGGGGATCTTCCTGCTGCTGTTCGTCCCTTAAAGTACTTGGGAGCCCCCAGCTCCGTGTTACACAGGGACTAAGGTGCACCTTAAATCTGCAGTTGGAGCCATGCGGACAGAATCATACAAATGCAGCATATGGAATTTATGTGAGATGACTAGGAGGTGCTGAAAGATTTTGACTTTAATATAGTTCTTAAGTTAAATGTTTGTTTGTAATTTCCTTATGGAAAGTGCAGTTTTTGACCTGCATTATTTACATATCATGGATTTTTATATTTTAAATGAAAATACAAATATCTTTGAAGTCCACACTCTTATTTACTAAAGATATAAGTAGATGTATGACCACATCTGACCACATGCCTTTTCATAGTGAAGTTGGTACCATTACAATCCCCCAAAGGGAATGTTGATTGTCTGGAGACAATAGTTCTGGTGTTCCATTTACCATCCCCATGAAAACGCAACCAAATTCAGCCAATGTGTAAGCCTTTGAAAAATCACAAGTTGCACATGCTCAGTGGAGACTTCTTTAGCAGCTAAATTCTCCAAAGAGAATTTCTTCTTCATACAGGACTTTCTATGCAGCTTTGGGGTGTCCTGGGTCTGGGCTTCTGCATGAAGAGCAGGACAATTCATTTGCTTTCAGTGACATTCCTACTTGGAAGGAAACTGTGTCATCTAAATGCAGAGGAGACAAGAGATGGAATTGCAATGTATAGACTGGAACGAAGAACTTTGGGGGTACAACTGAGACTGAAGGCTAGATGAGGCACAGGGGGGGAAACCTGGACTGGATTTGGGGCCGAGGCAGACTGTGTCTGGGAGCCTGGGACTGTCTAGGCAAAGAGATTGGAACTGGGATCAGATTTAAGACACAGGAATGGAAGTTAGTAGAAACTGGGGAAGTGGAGAGTGGCTTTAGAGCTAAAAAGGGAAGGGAGACAGGATAAGCAAAAAGACTAGAGCTGGGTGTAAAGAGGAAACTGGCACAGGACTCGTAAGTGTAAAGGGAAAATATTAAGATTTGCCATTTCCCCACTTCTCCCCCAAGCATAGGCTTTCTGATACTGTTTTTAAGTACATGCTTAGAATATTACTTTTTCTTCAGTCTCCTGCTTTACAGAATCAGCCTAGTGTAGGAAAAAACTAGGGTTATGTAATGAATATACTATAGGTTCTCTGCCTCACTAGCTGTAGAAGTTGGAAGATGTACAATGAATGAGACAAGAGTTCAGACAAATATAGTATGGTCTTCTGGTTAAGGCAATGAATGCTGCCCTCCAAAACTGGATTCTAATCCTGGCTCCACCACACAGTTCCTCTGAGATACAAGGAAACACACTTCAGAGTGCACAGCTAATTGTATCTGTCTTGTTTTCTGGGGGATGACTTGACACCATGGAGTTTGAGGGTCCTGCCACATGTTTAAATTAAAGCTGAGCAGAAATCAGCTCTACAGCTGTTATATGTTTTCAGGCACCAACTTTGTAGCTGGTTTGCTCTTTTTATAGCTGGATAGATGTTTTTATAGTGTAATTATTTACTTTACACATGGGGCTGGTCTAAATTTATTATGCAAATAACCAGTTAATTGCCTAATATATGTAATATAGGGCAGGGGCCTGGGTTACAGAAATGTTGAATCCCTTTCAAATGAAGCTAAA